CTGGTGGCAAAGGCATAGACACAGGAGCTCCTACGCAGCAGTGGTGGCTCAGTAGTGTAACAGTACAGCTGTAAGGGGAGAGCCTGTGTGATCACATCAGGCAGGACTGTCGCAATGACCAGGTTGTCCCTTTTGGCACTTACTTTGGTGGAAATTATTACGGCACCAAGTGTGTTTTCTATTGCTAACAGAGTGCTGCCTAGATGTGTGGGCCACAGTGTTTGCCTCCTGTATCTCCTGTGTGGCTTTGCAGTGTAGATGGCCCCAAGGGGAAATGATGGGAAGGAGGAAAGTGTTTTCAGGGGAGTGAAGCTGGGCTGACCCTTCAAGGATTTCTGTGTTGTCCTCTTAGCATGTGGAAACAATTGCTTGTGGTCACTTCCTCAAAACAGCAGAAGGAGCTCACGCAAGTATGAATCTTGCTCTCAAAGCAAGGACCAGCTGGTCATGCATAATGTTTCCTGAAAAGATAAACAAGGCTGGCATGGGCTGTTTAGACCAGTCTTTCCAAAAGGATTATCTGCACCTCAGTGCTATAGGCTCATAGAATAGTTTGGTTTGAAAGAGACCTACAAAGGTCATCTAGTCCAACCCCCCTGCAATGAGCAGGGCATCTTCGACTAGATCAGGTTGCCCAGAATTGCATCCAGCCTGGTGTTGAATGTTTCCAAGGATGGGGCATTCACCACCTCCCTGGACAACTTGTGCCAGTGTTTTACCACCCTCATTGTAAGGAATTTCTTCCTCACATGCAGCCTGAATCTCCCTTCTTTTAGTGTAAAACTGTCACCCCTTGCCCTATCGCAACATGCAGAATTGGTGTGACTTTGTTGCACAGGCGTGGGTTTCCCCTTGCGCTGTATGGGGTCATGCTGGAGGGAAGCAAGAGCTGCTCTCAGATGCGTCCTTTGACTTCCAGGTGGGATTGGGCTGCAGCAAGGCCCCTCTCCTTGGGAGGCCCTGGCTGCCACGAATACCTGTTGGCACCTTGAGTCCTGCAGTTCAGGGCTTTGCTGGTCTGGTCCTACCAAATAGTGGATCAGATAGTTCCCATTGGAACTCTCTTGGGATCTGATGTGGAAGGAACAGGGTGATCTGCTTATGCACTGAAATTTCTTCACACGTTTGTGCAATTCCCAGCAGCCAAATTTAGATGTAAGCCTGTAAAATGGATGAATATCAGGTTTTGCAAGACAGGTGTTATCTACACAGCTGATTCTGGTTTTGGTTCCTAAGAGTGTGTGTGTATTGAGCCTCTAAATTAGAAGAGAAATTGACCTGAAAGGAACGGAGATGGGTGGTTGCAGGTAGCATAGTGAGCTGTGGAAGCACGTTGCGTGTGGATTGGTTCAGTAACACTTGCAAACCGTGTAGAGAACCGTGATTGAAAGTGCCAATTACTATTAATAGAAGGCTCAAGATGAAGTAACAAATGTGGATAGCTGGCCTCCTCTCCGTGCCTCTAATTTAGGCGCATGAAATGACAGGTTTAATCTTGCAGTTGTTTCCAGCCTTGGATGAGGGTGGTGAGGTGGCCCAGTGATTGCCTGTGAAGGCTTGAACAACCAGTGTCATATCTGACTACTGTGGGAACAAAACTGGGACGACGTGGGAGCTCCTGGTAATGAACATGGCATCTCAGGTGTGTAGGGGACTGTTCAGGTGCTGGGGTTAGCTTGGATCAGACATGGAAAGGTGTGTCAGGGAATTTATCTCTGGGTGGGAACTGCTAAGTACCACCAGGGAGGGAGACTCCTGTGAATGGCAGTGGTTATGGCTGCGTAGGACTGGGAGACTGCACTTGCCACGTGGGGAAGTGGGTTCCTACCTTGTAAGTTGTAACTTCTCAAGTGGGATAATGGCAGACCTGTGTCAACAGATTTGCTCCTCGCTGAAATCTTTAATTCCAGATTAGGAAGCTAAAGTTGGTGTAGTTCTGCCTAATAAACAATAATGTCTCTGGTTTAGCTGGCAGGTTGAGAGGGGTCCATTTTATACTGCATTGTTGCCTATTGTTCTTTCTCTCTGAAATGTTTTCCATTCTTCTGTCAAGTTTTACGACAAGTGACTGAGAAGGGCTCACAAGTGTCTTGTGGCCAACTTTTAAATGTGCATGTACTCCTATTTGAAGCAAGTTTGGTTTAATATTCAAGGATTATTATGCAGAAGTGTTGTAAGGGCATCTATTGGATAGGCTGATGGGGTTGTGTTTCAGATTCTTTACATTAAGAGGGTTTTAAAGCTAAGACTAGGAGGGAAAGAAGGAGAGTCTTTTTCAGGAAGTTAGTTGTTATTCTCTGGACCCAGGTAGCCGTTTCTGTGGCATGAGTTCTGTCAATACCAGTGGTATAGCCTTCATAGTTGTCTTTCTAATATATCTGTTGGGGGCCAACAGATGCCCATTGGCAGTAGAATAATTGGACCCAGAGACTGAGCTACTTCTTTTTGTGTCAAGCTATGTGCTGACCACAGCAGAAAGGTAGTAGACTTTCCACCTCTTTGTGGCATTGCCACAAATAGTCTATGGGCATAACAGCACGGGGTCTCCACAGGCCCTAGAGTGAGAAGAGGAAGCTGAAAGAAGACTTTCACTGGCAACTGGCTTTGAGCCCCCTGTGGCTTGCCCAGGCTGGCAAACTGGGAACGAGAACTACAACATAGCTTTCTGCTGGTTTGACTTGCTGGGCAGGCAGTTGCCATGCCAGTGCTGGTGCCAGGGAAATGATATGGGGTGTCACTGGGCTGAGTGGGATGAGGGGGAAGGACCTGTCCCCTCCAGAGCAGGCAGCTGTAAGATCAGCTTGGCTTGGTTGCACGCTGTGAGGCTTGATATGCATGATACACATGCTCGTAGAGCAAATTTGTACCTGTTGGTGAAAGCAGGTTGCTGAGTTGCTGCATTGCCAAGGTCAAGTAGTACCTTTTAGGACTGTTGCAATTACAGCCAGCCTGAGCTGAAGCCTTTGCTGAGCAGCGTAAACACAGCATTGCTAAATTGATGTTTGCTGACAGCATCAAGTAATTGGTGCCTTATCTGGATTGGTGTACTTGAATGGCACATGTCTCCTCCACTTCCTCCTTCCCCGTCAAGAATGCGGTTTCTATAGGAATTTAAACCTCTCTTAGTTTGATGGGTTGAGAACTGCTGATATGAGCTGGAATCTCAGCTGTAGAAACCTGGAGTTCTTCTTTCTGTGCATTTGTGAGGCTGCTTTAAAAGTAAATGTGTTTTGAAGTATTCTTAACAAGTCTGGAAGAGCAGATACCCTCCTAGCATTCCTCACTCCTTCCCCCCTCATTTTTGTTCCAACATTAAGTGGGAACAAAACTATTTTCTTTCCTTACCAGTGGATTTGTAAATGCATTTTAATTGTATGTTCTTGTACATAATGAAAATCCAGTGGAGTTTTGTAAAAGCCGTGTGTCCAGAGAAGGGGACAATTTGGTGTGCTCTCACTGTCTTGAAGTATTTGAAGTATATTATTACTAAAAGGAAAGCAAAAAGACCTAGCTGTTCCAGAGACTGGGATATGAAATCTTCCACTTTCCATGTCACTGGTTTGAAGGGAGGCCAAATTTGAGCTGGCTGAAGCATGGATGGCTCACTTCAAGTGGTGGCACCTTAGCCCTGCTTTGCCTGTGGAAGTACTATGTATGGGGTTACTTCTGTCACCATCTCTAGTAACCTGGGCCATGAGCTTAGTGAAGCCTTATTTCTTGACCCTACAGCTGAATTCCTCAGCTCTGGTGAGCTGTGTGGTCAGGGTGGCGTGGGAAACCTGCCCTGCCCCTGCCTTTTGTGCACCACATTGGTATAAGTACAAGATGTTAGTCTTCAGGGCAGCTATTAAAGATAATAGTAATTATTACAATAGTAACTTCTTCTGCCGCGTCCATGCCCCTAAGGCCTTAACCAAATGTAACTTAGATGATAATCATTAAAAACCCAAGACTGTGACCCAGTAAAATCCTTGAGTTTGGCAGGGGCAGCAATGCTGACGAGGAATGTATGCATCAAATATATAATAAATAAAATAAAGCTGTGCAAATGTAAAGGAAAGAGAACAATTTCCTGTTGGTCAAAAAAACCTCCAGGGCTGGGAACTGGTTTGTGCTCAGAGGTTGAGTCCTTTTATGCCACAAACTAGATTTTGTGTAATCGCACTGCAACCTTTTGCTTTGGGTTAATTGCTAAATTCTGATGCTTTACCTGCCAGGGAATGCTCCCCAAACTATTGTGCTGTGTCCATCTGTTGCCCTTCCTTCCCCTTGTGCTTTTCCCAGCATCTTGCACAGAGGCCTGGCTATGAATCATTGTATCTTCCAAGTAGCTCTTCCCAGTTATGTTTCTCTTCCTAAAAATAGTTGAGATCTTTGCTCAGGGGGAAAGCAAGCATTTTGGATTGCAGCTCTTGCATGGGTCACTGGTATGCAGGCTTGTGAACCCAGTCATGTAAACTGTTTTGTCTTGAGATTCTTGGGGAGGGATGCCCTGGTCCACTGGATGTGGTTTCCAATTCAAGCACTGTGGGAAAAATTGACTATTCAGTTCCAGCTGGGACCAGACTGAGCCACCTACCACTGGATGGAGGAGATAAAGAGAATGGGTCAAACTGGAAATGATTTTTGGGAAAGATCTCTGCAGAATAAGTGGCTTGGTGCTCTTGCTGGGAAGATGGGAATCAGTGGGCAGCAAATGTGCATCCCAGCTTTTCACCAGTACTTTCTGCTCCTTGAAATCCTGTCTTTGCAATGCTTTGCAACGCGCTGACGCAAAGTAGTCAGTGGATTGGTGACTCCTCTCTATACCCCAGGAATATTTTACTGAGCCTGTGTTGAAAACTGTTGCTTCTGTACCTGCATGCTTGTCAATGAATTTCTAGGAGCTGCAACTCTTCCCAGTGCCAGTGTGAACTAGATCATGAGCATCTGTGTATGGGTCCATTTGAACTGCACTCATGTTTCATAATACTTCTTATTTTCTTTTTCATATGCACTAGGTGACTTTGGAGAAGGTGTTGGGGATAACTGTGTCGGGAGGCAGAGGACTAGCCTGCGACCCCAAAACCGGCCTCGTTGCTTATCCAGCAGGGTGAGTCACTAACCATGTTCTTCAAAGCTAAGATAAACCAGGACTGATTCATCAACACGAACATTCAGGGTGTTTCCACTGTGGTCTTCTGGGGGGGGGGCTATTTACTGTTCCTTAGTCTTTTAACACTAGAGAATGATGAGACTCGGCACTGTTAATGTAATTGGAAATGGAGAGGAATAGCATTTTACCTGTCAAGTTTTAATGAGATTCCTTTTAATGGAACCACTCTCCTTCCTCTTGCTCTAAGCTGGGAGTTAAATGCATTGTGGTGAACTTAAACATAACTCAATGTGATTCTCAAGCCGGCGATTACCTAATGGAACAGGTGATACTTCCAATGAATTGACAAAAGCCTTCTTGTATATGTCCTGCAACTTATGACTTGCCATGTTCCTCATCCAAATGCAGAGAAGGATTTCAGGCTGACAGCACCTTGTCCGTGTGTTCTCTGGATTGCTGCACATCTATCAACTGCAGTCTAAGTCCGAATAGAGCTATCCAGGAGAACCTGATGGACAGCAAAAAAGCTACCTAGAGGGAGATAGCTGAGGATTGGAGAGCTGCACGTTTAGCAAAATCATAGACATCTGGGGCCAGATCCTGATCTTGCTGAAGGTAGAGCTCACTCAGAGGGTACATGTCCATGGAGGAGCAGAGCGGATCAGAGTTGCTGGTCTGTGGGATGGGACTTGTCTGAAAGAATGTAGCCCTGTAGAGGTCTCATAATGGATGACATTTTGAAAAAGCTGGGGAGGAAAAACATTTCACCCTGCTAGTGGAAACATGGCTGTTGAGATCAGGTATATCTATGACTTAGATGAAAAGATACAATACTGTAGTGGGAATAGATTGGGAAGACAGAAGAGTGACTCTTCAGGAAGGGCCTTCACTACCTTCTGTAGCGCCATGTGGGGATACTCCAGCTGGCTTGGTTGCAGAAGTTCATATAAGCTTGGCTCTTTCTCTGAGCTTGTTCATTCTGGTGGTCAACAAGCTAAAGGAGAAGTGGAAGGGTGGTATCTCCAAGTGGTGCTGCATTGACATAATCTTAAGATGTGAAAGCTGGAATTAGGAGAAAGGAACTTCCACAACAATTATAGGTGTTTGCAAACATACAAGAAAGAGGCTAGCAATACTTAGGGATTCTGTATTTGTGGCCAGAAGGAGAGATTGGGTCAGTAGAACTGGCTAGAAATTTTTGTCCATCCTGGTGATATCCTGGTTCACAGAATCATTGTGTTTGGGGGGAACCCTTTGAGATCATCGAGACCAATCCCCATGCTCAAGCAGGGTCACATAGAGCAGGTTGCCAAGGACCAGCTTCTGAATATCTCCAGAGATGGAGACCTCACAGCCTCTCTGGGCAGCATGTTCCAGTGTCTGACTACTCTCACAGTAACAAAACCAAACCAAAACCCCAAACAAACAAAGGCCAACCAAACAATAAAAAGGTGGGGTGTTTGTTTTCTTTCACTTTTCCTTTGTGTTCAAATGGGATTTCGTAAGTTTTGATTTCTGCTCAGTGCTTCTTTTTTCTGTCTGTGGGCAGTCTGTTAACTGCAGACAATTTGAGATTCACATCTGCACTTGACAGCGTCCTTTATGCTTGAACTCCTTGGAGCCAGGCAAATACATTCCAGTGTGTGTTGCCTCTTCGTCTGCATCTTTTGTGACACTGAATATGGTCATGCTTAAAGACCTGAAGGAGAGAGAAGAAAGCAAGTGCAGTAAACAGATGTTTTGGGCTCTTGCATGGCTAAAGATGTATTAGTTTTGTTAATAGTGATGTCCTGTAATGAACTTGTGCATGCCTAACATTGATTTAATTAAGCATAAGGACACCTGAGAATTCTTTTGGGTAATTAAAAGGTTACATGGTTCCTTAGAGCTTTACTCAGGAATTCCTGTTCTTCCTTGTTGGTGGTAGCATCTCGTGGCCTGGGCAGGAAACCTATGGAATATACCAGATGTGTGCTGTAGCAGCTTAATGGCTTATGTGACTTGCTGCATTTGTGCCACATCTGGCCTGTTTTGTGATGCTGCTGTGATTTGCTGCAGACAAGATAATCTGTGACAAAACTTGCACTAGTTAAGAAGTCAAAACATGAGAGGGGCACGGGTGCACACCTGACTAAGCTGATGCAAGTTCAGTTTGATTCTGGTGGATTTTTTTTTTCCCATTCTCATTCCCGCTTAATTTCTCTTGATTTGCAAGAATCCTGGCAATTCTGTTACATTGCCTTTATGTTCTTTGGTTTTGTTTCTATTTGTTTGAATGTACCGGTCACTGGAGCTTCTTACATGAGGCTGATGTAGCAGAGTGGTTATGGCTCATGCACAGCTGGTTCATGACCTGTCCATGCAGCTTGAATGTCCAACTTCAGCTGTGCTCCAGGTATTCCAGTGATTTCCTCATGTGTTGAGGATATTCTGCTCATGTATTGAGGTTTCACAATCCTGACATGCAGATGCTTTGCTCCTCCAGTCTGTCCTATCCCCAAAAGCTGAATTTACGTAACGACTGTATTTTCCTAAGAGCACTTTCAACATAACAAGATTCATTTGGTTGAGATCAAAACAGTTGCCCCAGGCATCCTGACTTCATCCACACCAAGCATACGAATAACTATGGGAGTGAGAATTTGTGCATGGGAAGCTGTGGTGTTCTTTGAGCAGAATCTTAACTCTGGTCTCTGTTTTGCCTAAAATCATTTAAAAATCACCCAAACCCTAGCAATGCTGTTCCTGAATTTTCTCTTTCCTGGAGTTTCTGAATCTCCTGAAGGAAGCAGTTCCCAATGCAATGCATTCCAACTGCACAGTCGTGCCGAAGAGCCAAGTGTTACATAATTATTTCCTTCTCACTGGCTTTTGAACCTTTTATTCTTTCTTTTCTTTGACCCTAATTGAAGCTTTCTTTCCAGTCATGTGTGACAGCAGCTTTGCTGACCCTGTACTGTTTTGGTGGGATGCTTGTATTATAGGAGGCCTTTTCTTCATATCTGCCATAAAGGCTAAAGGCACTTGAGTGCTGCAGATACTCTAGGTCATTACTTTTATATAAGGTTGTTGTCCTGGAGATAAGACGATACAGCAGAGAAAATTACATCTCTGAAGGTCTTATCTGCTGCCTGCACTCACCTGTCCTTGTGCTGGCAAGTGAAATAAACCCAAAGTTGCTTTAATTTAATCTCTGTTTAGGGTTATCCAGGGAGTAACAAAATCTTGTGGGACGAGTGAGGGGGACAGAAATGTGCTTAATATTTTACTTTGTGTGGCAGGACCAATGCTCTGCTCTCCTTTCAGTTTCCCCTCCCTTTGCTTTTTCCCCAACCTTCTCTCATTATGGTTCATCCCCCCCCCCCTTTTTTTTTGCAGTAGCTGGTTGAGGTTCTGTTCCCTAGAAACAAGGAGAGAAACAAAGCTCAGGAAATCCACTGAGGATGACTAGCATTAAAACAGGAAAAAAAATAAGGGGGATGGCGAAATGTCCATTTAAATTCTATACCAGCTGCTCAGATAGTTTGAGACAGCTTATCTGGTTTTAGTTTGGGGGTTCTGTGTGCTGTTGTTTTTTAAGCCCTGTAGTTTGCTATGACTGACCAGTTCATTTTGCTTCTTTATGTTCTTCTTCCCTTAGCTCTCAATTGGTTATGAGCTGTTTGGGAACCTTGTCTTCATGTGAGATATTTGCCTGCTTGAGGGAGCAGCGTGTGCTTTTTCTTCCATAGGAGCAGAAGCATAGTGCTTCAGTGTGCTGAAGTTCAGTGTGTAATGTCATTTAAACGCTATTCTCGTAGGTTCTGGCCAGCTTAAGCTTCTCTCTAGCTTTACTTATCAATTCCTAAGCACTCTGATAGAATTCAGGGTTATTCCACATTACTTTTTCTTGCTGGGGAAATTGGTGTTTGATACATAGCATATGTGATGAGCTGATTGGTTTTGACATGCATAGTCTTCCCCTCCTTCAGCTCTCAAGTACAGCTCTATACATGCTGCAACTCCAGCTAAAGGTATTAATATAGTGAATTTATATATAGTGAATGTGTTTAGTTTTTTAATATAGAGAATCCTCTCTGAGACATAGTGAAATGAGTTCCTTTGGGTTTCTTAGGGGTTACTGTAGTTAGTACAGACACAGCCAGCTTTGTGTATGCGAAGTACGCTTGCTGAAGAAATGATTTGGATGCCCCCATGTTCTGTACCACTGCAGAATGAATCACCCTTGTTTGTAGATAGGGAGAGGTGATAAAAAAAGGTGCTATGCAATCCAAGGTAAGACGAAGATATTAAGTCTTTTCTCCTGCTGCTTTTTGCTGCAAGATCTTGTTGAAGAACTAGACTTGTTCTTGCTTCAGCTTTATGACCTTGAGGTATGTTTTGAGGTAGGGCAACTAACAGTCAGAATGGAATAGTGGTATGATGTGTCCAAAATCAGAAAACTGCCCAGCTCAAATCTTCTTTACTTCTTGCTATGCTGTGCTTGTTGGATGTCAGTGCAGCAGCTTCTCGTGTGCCAACATGTGCTGCAGCAGAATCGAGCCGCAGTCTCCTCTTGTTTCACCATGTTTCTCCCTCTTGTTCCATCCCTCATCCTTGGCTGATTTGCACTACTGAGTGGAAGCCTCTTAACTCTGTCAGCCCTTTTGAGTCACCCCCCTCCTGGCTCCCTGTCCACTGATCCAGGGAGGTGAGCGTCAGGTCCTGCACTGTCAGGGCAGTGACCATGGTCTGTGTCACAGCAAAGGGAGGAAGGGGATGAGCACAGTGGGAAATGAGTGAATTGGTTTTAATCCAGCCAGGAGTCTGCTCAGCACGTGTGGAGCTGTCTCACATAATTGAGTGGTAAATCCCTCTGGGAGCTGAAAGAGTGAGGATTTTTCTTTTCCAGAAGTGGTTGTTGGTTTGCTCCCAAATACCTCTTTCCAGTTCCAGTAGATAGGCTGTAAGGCTAAGTGGTTTCCAGCCCATCCACATATCGAGTCTCTTGGAAAGTT